ATTTTCGTGGTTGAAAATTGGACTAATTATTTAGTTTTTAAGAATTCCAGCCTATACATAATAACAATAAATAATTTTCAAATTTTGATCAATCTTTAGTATAACCTTCCTAAAACATCTCAACATTATCAATCATACAATTAAATACATAAAGTCACATTCATTTTTTTAAATCCTTCGATTACCTAAATATCCCTTTATTCCTTCAGACTTTAAAAATAAAATAATAAATAAAATAACTTATTTTTCTATTCATCTCCACTCTCACTCGTATTACTCCTGGAGTAACTTGATTCACACCGGCAAGAAAACGCACCTTTCTCTTTTGACATTTGTCATACCAGCGCCGACAGGTGTCACTTCAACCGCCTTAAGATGAATTTTAAACAAATATACAAAACATGGATTTAAATTTTCTCAATAATAAGTTCAATAAAAATATTTAGAAAATTTAGCACGGTGGAACGCACCTAATTAATTTTATTCATGAAGATGACTGCCAAACTTTATGTATATTTATTGTGACTGTACGTATTTTTATTAATAATTCTTCAATTTTCCTCTAAATTCAAACCAATTTTCAATTATATTCGTCACATATTCTCCCTTTTTTAATTTTTAACCCCTTGTCTCTACACAAGCACATGCTTTTTGGAGGCTCAACTTGAACAATGAAGACTTTAGGCTAATTTAAATAAATAAATAATTTTGTACGAAATACCAATCTTTAGTCGTGTTGACAGCATCTATAAAACATGGTCCTTGGCCTAACCTAACCATGTTTAGCAAATATTAAACTTCCTCCGGCGTCGCTCATCTATCGGCTACGTTGAACTACCTAGACACATACAGCCTAAAGTCATGTGCCATGCTGTATGCAAACCCATTAAGGGGAAGATAACATTAATATTAGGTGAAATTCCTAGCCATGTGCAGGTCTTTCACTACTTAGGCCTGGTAAAGTCCTGACGGCCTTCTGTCGCCTTTCTGACAAAAAGTTTACTTATCAATCTCATACCCCCACGAAAGATCACTACATACGAGAGGCGTTTTCGAAAACTTACTCGGATCAGAAAGATTATTGATCCTGTCGTTCGTTTACCTATGGTTACTAACATTATCCGTATTCGGAAACTAGTAGATTACTGATCCAGCTTGTGATCGAGATCAATATTTTGTAATCCACTATACGAGTAGATTAGTAATAGATCCGCAAGTGCACCACAGGATTTTATAAAGGGATAACGCAATTTTGTGGTTTTTGGTGTCGGCCAGTAGTAACTTTGAAGTTTTTCTACATTGAATCAGTTATAACTTGTAATATTTATGTCTCTATTGCGACTTTATTAGTCAGACTACAAATACATTTAATTAAAATGGTTCTTTAACAAATAATAGGGAAAAGTCAAAGATTGACAGACGTAGATAAACAGGAACAATAACCCAACTCGTTCGGTACAAAGTTCAGTGATCCAAGTGATCAATCGGGTATACCCAAGGTAAACCCAGTAATCTGGATTGGTTACCTGTAGTGGGTTTCCGAAAATGCCCAAGGTCGTTAACCGGCCATAACAAAATGTTTGTCGGAAAGTTACGTTACTTTTTGTACACACTGTATGTAACTTTATTGTAAAATGGTTTTACTGGAATCTTTGATACTACAAAATATACATATCGTATCGTCAAGTTTTATATAATATCTGCATTTTGTACTAGGTTTAGTGTTTATTTATAGATATTTTGCTAATGATATATCTACATATTCATTTTATACTGAGAAAAGTGTATAGTATATGATTTTTACCTACAGTTGATTTTTGTGCCTATCGAGTAAAAATTTTTTCGTTAGTGATAAAATTTGTGCCTTCATTTAGTTAAACTCAAACAAATAATGATTGAGAGTGAAAGCAGGTAGAAATACGACCAAATCGGAGGCGTGCTTATTATTTTTGAGAGGGTACAATTATTTAAAATATTCATACAATTTCTATTATTTATTTCATGAAAACTTTGCAATATCGTAATTTACCTAATCGTTGTAGTCATTAGTTAGGCTTTATGAAAACGGAGTAATAATTGTGGTAATTATAGTAGGAACCAAATAAATTAAGAATATTAATAAAAATCACAATATATATTTCAAATTAAAAATAAGAAAGATACCTAATCAGGGGTTGGTTTGGTGACAGAAACAATATTATCAATTTTACTATTTTAATAATGAATTTAACTTTATTTCACAAATTAACGTATATTTATATATTATGCGCGGCCGAAGTCAGTAAGGAACTGTCTCTTAAGTTTCTTCTTGGGTTACACATACAGAAGTATTACTTAAATTTTAAATTAAAATCATAATGACGGATATTGCATATCCAATGCAATTGATATTTTTATTTTGTTTTGTTCAGTTATTTTTAAATTTTTATATTTTTTAATCTTTTTATATTATATTTAGTTTTTAATTTACTTCGCTTTGTCTATAAAATTTTTGTAATTTTTCAATGACAATAAAGCATACCTCTATCTCTCTCTCTCTCTCTCTCTCTCTCTCTCTCTCTCTCCCGGTTTACCTGCAGTTCCTCGAAACTATCCAGCCTTACCCAAGAAACCCTAATTGGGTTCGGCCAACATTAAAAGACATTATAAAGCTTAAATTACTATTTGATTGGTACTTAAATCATAAAAGTTTACACGCACCTATCATTTCGGAAATCCCTAAGTAAGATAATTAGTTTGGATATAACCTACAGGATTATGTTTTCTTGACCGCCAAACATAATAATAATAATAATGTTTATTTCAAATTTATGTAACAATGTATAAATTGATACAATAATAATAATTAAATAAATAAACATTTGTATCCTGCTGAGACATTGTTCATGTCTGTGTACAGGAATTAAAAATACAAATTTATATAATAATTTCTAAATGGTAATAGTGAATGGTAAAAATAAAAATTATACCTAAATATATAGACTTCTTTTTGTGTACAAATTTTCTTCTAATCTTCAACCTCAGATTCGTCACTGCTGCTACCGCTATCGTCAAAGTTAATTATGATTGGTTCAATATTGTGTTTAATACGGTTGTCTACGTCCCACATTTTTTGCTCTTCTTTTAAAACATGCTGAATGCATTTCTTCCAGTCTTCTGCAGAAACATTTTGAATGGCTTCTTGTAGGTAACGTTGCACGTCCACTAATTTAAATGTTCTGTTTTCTCGTGCCACATATCCTTTTACTTGCGCCCAGATTAATTCTATTGGGTTTAATTCGCAGTGGTACGGTGGTAACCTTAATACTGTAATTCCACGACTTAACGCCATTTCATCCACTGCGAATTTTTTATATTTGTCTCTGTGTAATTTTGTTAACTGAAGTAGTTCTGCTTTTAAACTATCTTTTTTATATTGGATGTTTTTATTAATTAACCATTCTTGAATTGCTCGTTTTTTCCATGATTGTTTCGGTAATGATTCTAAATACCGACTATGATATGGGGCATTGTCCATGACGACGACAGACCCAGGTTCCACAAGTTGAATGATGCCTTCAAACCATTTTTCAAACACCTCCGCATTCATCTCTTCATGATAGTCGCCTGTTTTCTTGGATTTAAATATTAATTCACCATTTGGTAAAAATCCACTGTCGCTTCCTATATGCGTAACTATCAGACGACTACCTTTTCCAGACGGCTGTTTTAACCCAGTTGACAAGCCTTCAATAAAGGCTTGTCGTGCACTTGTTATATGACCATCCTGCCATACTTTTTTGACCGTATGTCCTTGGTTAACCCACGTCTCATCCATGTAGTAAATTTTTTTTTTTATATTCCGAAATTCCTCAATTTTTCGGAGATAATTTCTTCTCCATACTATTATTTCCTGACGTTCAATGAGAATGCTTTTCCTGTCGACTTTTCGGTACGTAAATTTCATTTCGTGTAAAATTTTCCTCAAAGTTTCTTTACTCATTTGTGGGACCAATTCATGATCGCTAACTTCCTCCAGAACTTTTTGCAAAGTGGGCAGCTTATTTCTGAAAAAGAAACTGTGAATAGTTGTGCGTATACTGTTTTTGGCTTCTTCATCAACTGTGATTTTTTTTCTTCCGCTACTAGTTTTTGGCGTTTGTACTTCCCCATGAATTTTGTTTTCTCTTAGTATTTTGTAAACTGATGATTTTGGTACACCCGTATAATCAGAGCACATATCAACTAATTTATCTTTTGTAATTGTGAAAGTTAATGATATTGGAACGCCCGGTTGGTTATTCGGAGGTACATCCGTAGAATTACAGCACATATGCACTAAGTTATCTTTTGGTCGCTGATGATCTCTTTCAAGACAGTGAAATACTCGAAGTACAATTTGTTTTTCACTTAGCGACCGAGACCGTTTTACCTTTTTCGACGTTGAAGGCCCTTCAATGTCTTCCATTTTTTGGATAGTTTTAGAACGGTGTAGAAATATTATTATTTAATGTTTAAACACTTATTAGCACTAATATTTTCACCAATTTTTCTTACAACACGTCGATTACTTACTAACTTAACTGTAAAACTTACATTTCACACCGTATAATTCAAAAACCGATGCCATTAGTTGTAACAAATACTGAACAATCCATAAAATAATTAATTTTAAATGATCAAGAAATGTATAAGTATTACTCATTACTGATTTTTGTTATAATTAATATCTTTTATTAGTACTATGATTGTATATTATCTATAATTTGCCACAACTTACAACTCTACTACTTACTCTATTTTGATTCTGCTAAAAACTAGTAAGGTAAAATTGAGATATGACAACACGGTTCACTCTCAATCATTATTTGTTTGAGTTTAAATATATTGCTTTTTACATTTTTTTTCTGACTGATATGCTCTTTATTAAAATGATTTTCAAACATTTAAAGACTCATGAGTTAACCTATGAAATTTTAATCAGAGGGGTAGACTTATCTTCTACTGTAGAATAAAAAAGAATGCTTTTGAGTGGTTTGTTATCTCAAGAGTCACACAATAGAAGTTTTTCAGAGAAAAATATTCCTTATGATCATGAAGATGATATCACAGAAATGGAATTGTCAATTAAAGAAGTCAATACAGAAAAATTTATTGGTAATAAATCTGATCCATCTTTTAAACGAATTAATTCTAGATTAGTTCACTTGTCTAATAGGGTAGCTAATTTAAAAGTAGACTCTGATGAAGAAGTTACAGCCCAAAATACAATAAAAACAAAAATAATCATGTTAGAAGCTGATTTATCAGAAAAAATTAATAATAATTCTTCAAGTTTTAACTCTAGTACTGTATCTACAGAACAAGTTAGTTGTCCTTCATATATAAGTGTAGATGTTCATAAATGGGGTGTATTCTATAATGGTAATAATTAGTTGTTTGATTTTTTGGAACATGTTGAAATTTTAAGATTGTCTAGAGGTCTGTAAGTTGCAATAAATCAACTAACTGTTCATAAAATTTGTGTAAATTTGTACTTATAAAATACCTATTTTCACTTTATGAAAATCACTTATTTTAGCACTAAAGCTTCATACTATACCGCAGTCAACCACTACTCGGTTTCTGATCGGCTGCAATTTAATACCGTTTAAAATATTCTTAGTATAACGTTTTATTCGAAAAATTATTCTTTACCTTCCATTTTATACTTTTCACAAAAATTCAAATTACCGACAGTACTCTTATTTAAAATTAATTCAAGAAAGTTATACCATCATTACGCCCATTACCGACTCTCGAACAGTTTTCCTAGTATTTTACGGTTCAATTCCGTCGAAATTTCGCAATAAAGCGAAACAGTATGGAAGCAGATCGCCTGTTATTACGGTCTCCATCCATCTTTCCTCGACAAACTTTGTGACAAAACCGTTCTGTTTCATTTTCCAGACAGATAATGTGCAATTGCCTCGGTCTTATCGTCTGCGAAACAGAGACAGGATGACATATTGAATGTCTACAATCGTAGAAACGTTCAAATTGAAATCTAGGTTCCCCGTGACTGCGCCTCTAATTTGTTCGGAATTTAGATCTTATCGAAATAAACGTAATTGGAAAGGCGTTGTTCTTGTTCATGTTCAGCAGCTGTGGAATATTTCTGTGAATAAACACAGACGTTGTCTTACCGATTTTCTAACGAACAATTCCGATAATTTTGGAATATTACAACCGAATTCATACAACGGTATTCGACGTCTGCTATATCTAAGAGATTGGACAAAAAAATCATCAGTTTTTTAAATCGCTTAATGCAGGACCAGGCAACTGTTTTATAAAGAAACAGGCTTCGGTGAAATTTCCTAAATTTTGCTATTTTGCGGTTATCGACTTTGACCATGATCATCGAGATAGAATAAAGTAAAGACAACATGAACACTATTTTGCGATATGACAAATGGACGCACTTTAAGTGACGGAAAAGTGTAATGAAATTGGTGACTTGAGTCGTACTTTCATTTATTCAATTCAATAATTACTGAGGCCCTTCCTATGGGGCCTCAGTATTGTATTCGTGCAGACGAAAAAATTTTCTTACCACCATTTTTTAAAACTTTTTTCATGTTTCCGATCATTCTGAGTCCAAAAATGCAAAAAAAAAATTTTGTCTGTTCTTCTGCGTGTATACAGGGTGTACCAATAAAAACTCCCAGGCCGGATATTTTGGTAAGTAATAGAGATATTTTAATTCTGTAAAAGCCCGTTTATAGAGCGCTAAGAGAGCTTCAGTTTTAGATATAAATTAATTTTAAATAGGTCAATATGTACATGGCGCTGCGCTCAATATTTTGTTTTCGATGGAACGATCTTTCTTATATAACGCATCTGGTAAAAAATGCATTTTTAAGCAGATTTTGTTTTATAAACTAATTCGATAAATCCATCCATTTTGGATATACAGAGTGGATAACTCAAAACAGTTTTATCCTTTGCTAGGCATTAATTATTGGATTTTTAGAAAATGCCAAAATAGGTCGATTTTTCTGTCATGGGTCAACCCCCTCCCTTCCACTTCTCCAACTCCTTAACTTTAAATAAGGAATGTACCATGTACGGTACATCATTGAAAAGGTAATTTTACGGGGAAATTAAAAATATGACTTTTTATTTTGATACTTTTAATTTTAGCGCCCTCTATCGAGATAAAAAACCTGTAACGTATTATAAAGTGTGACAGTTCATTTGAAAGCTAATTTAATTACTAATTCAATTCACCATATAACATTAATATAAATATTTCCATATTGCACTTGCACTTTTAGTAATAATGTTTAAAATAATGCATGACTTATTTTCAAACTATTGCAAGTACAATATGGAGGATATTTATATTAATGTTATGTGGTGCACTAAATTAGTAATTAAATTTGCTTTCAAATAAGGTGTCACACTTTATAATACGTACAGTTTTTTTATCCCGATAGATGGCGGTACAATTAAAGGTATCGCAATGAATGGTCATATTTCTAAATTACCCATAAAATTACCTTTTTAATGATGTATTACACATTGTAGAGTCACACTTTATAATACGTGGTAGTTTTTTATCCCGCTAGAAGGCGATAATATTTAAGTAACGCAATGTACAGAAATATTTTTGAATCCCCCATTAAATTACCTTTTCAATGATGTGCCATACATGGTACATTACCTATTTAAAATTAAGGTGTTGGAGGAGTGCAAGGGAGGGGGTTGATACATAACAGATGTCTGTATTGTAAAAATTTTTTTAATGAGGAATAAAAATCGACCTATTTTAGCATTTTCTTAAAATCCAATGATTAATGCTGAAAAATAGGATGAGATTGTTTTGAAGGACCCACTCTGTATATCAAAAATGGCTAGATTTATCGAATTAGTTCATAGAACCAACAATAAAAAGGAATGATTTATAATGCATGTGCATTCTTCTTCGAAATGGAATGTTTTTTATATATTTTCAGATCAAAAACGTTTAAAAAACAGGGTGTCTCGTCTTTAAATTCCTTTAAGGGATTCATATCCGTAAACTAGAACAAATTCAAAGAACAGAATGTCTCAATATAACAAGAACCATGAAAACAACACCGACCAGAGCGATGGAAGTCATTCTTAGTCTCACTTCCCTTGATATGTACATCAAAGAGATTGCTCTGACGACAATCACACGCCTACGCACGGTTGGAATAGAACCTGATGTAGGATCTGGTGAGGCGGGACGTTGCTTTTGGCAGGAGGAGCTCGATACGCTCTCACTGCTTTAAGTGAACATGGATTCCATCTCATCAAGATATATCTTCCAGCAAGTTATAACAGAACAAATAGAAGAGCCGGAAGTGGCAGGTACGATTCATATCTAAACATAGGGTTCTATAACCAAATAAGGCCCAGGATGTGGAATATACTCCAGATTCTTACATCTAAACATAAGATGGGCTGTGAGCATTAATGCCAGTGTACCTCAAACCGAGCTCATGGGGATTCTTATTCGCGATTCAAATTAATTTTCGCGCGCCTGTCATTTGTCACGTATAAGTAGGATGTTTGTTTATTTACGTGTTGTGGGATTTTGTATTTGTGATTTTTTAACTCTTTTTAGATAATATTCTTATTATAATAGTGTTTTTGAGTTTCATTTAGTGTTAATTTAAGTTTAGTTTTCGTGCTTTCGTTATAAATGTAATTTTTCATGTGTAGTACGAACTAATTTGTTGGAAATATTGACCTATTGGTTGCTACAAGAACATCTAGAAATATGTATTTACTAGACCCAGGACATGTTTTATTATGTGGTTTAAAGGACATATCAGGTACCAAACGTTTATTAATGATGAACTTCTTTAAAAATCTTACTATCCTTATTCTTATATCATGAAGTGAATTGTGTAGTACTTTGTATACATGTAAATGGTAATAAAACCGTCACAACTCATATTGGAGTTTGATTCTAAACAACGTTTTGCAAAATTTCAATATTGTGAATTTGTAGATACCCATTTATCGTAAGAAACAGAATTTTATGACTTGCACTTGAAAAATAATGAATACTCCAGTTTTGATTTTGACAATAACACCATACAAATTGCAATTTGCTGGAGGCTTTTTCGCAGATTTCATTTTTAATTTAAATACTATCACATACTATAAGAAATAAACAAATTTAAAGCTAAAAAGTAACAAAAAACTCTAATTGTAATTGATACAAATTAAAATGTAAACAATGAACACGAACGCCAATGTTGCCAAATGATGAACTGATTTTGTCTCTGACTGATTTTAAAACTAAAATTAATAAATGAACTGATATTTAAGAAAAAAATCAATATAATAAATCGATTTTATAAAAAAATCCTTAAATAAATAGTATGATTACATATTACTAGACACAAATTTTGATTCTTAAATAAAAGGTCTTATCCATTTCTTCAAAAACAAATCCGACGACGTAACGAAATTTTGCTGCTTCTGGCAACCCTGAACGTCATCCTACTTATAAGGACCTTTTATTAATTTCCTCCAGAGGGCGTATCACTTAGCTTGAATCGCGAATAGCAGCAAAATAAATTAGCAAGAATAATATTACTGGAAGAAACATGCTCATCTATACAAATAGCAGACAAGTACTACTCACCCTGGACAGACCACGAATTTACCCAGAGTTTGTACTAGAATATCAAGAAGCTTTAGATGAAGTATCCATCAACAAGATAGATCAAAGGTCACCCCACATCGAAAGGTAACCGTCTTGCTGATTCACTAGCCCAGAAGGCAGCCAACCAAATACTTTTTGGACCTGGCCCTTCTATTGGACTGATAACATCGGTAGTGACAAATCTGAAAAAAGAACAGTTCCTTGTGAAATTCAAGAACAGATGGTATAAAACAAAAAGCTGCAGACTTCCAAGAGAGCTTTTAAGTTATCCTGACAACACTGCAGTGAACAAATACTTGACTATGACTAGGTAGAATCTGCGCCTGGTCACAGGCAATCTGACTAGAGATTGCCAAGTACGGAAGCATCTTCGTATCATGAGGCTGTCAGAATTCGTACTCTGCAGAGGGAAGATGAGACCATCGAGCATATCCTTTACGATTGCCCGACGCTCTCATTTATTAGAAGATTTGTGTTCGGCAAGATTTGGCTAACATCGACCGATATAATAGAATCACCTCTTAGCGACGTTGTCAACTACATTAAATCTGTAGGCTAGCTCACGAGCTAGGAGGTGATTATATACTTGGGAAGATTCACCATTGACCTAGCGAGTCCTAAGTGCCGCGGGTTAAGCCACCCTCCGCACGTTATCGTAATATGTTAAGAGGCGACCACAAATGAGATAATATTGAACATAAAAACTAGTGAGGGAATGACAATAGTGTATAAGAAATTGTTACTAAA